TATATATATATATATATATATATATATATATATTTATTTATATATTTATTTATTGTCGTCTCTTTCTCTGTCCGTGGAGAAATACAAGACGAACCACAGTTCGGATTTATTTCGACTGGAAATTTGGTCACCACTCTGGGACCGTACGGGGCAAGCTTTCTTGGAGCGCGATGACTCGGGAAGATGAGAGAGGAGGAGAAGGTAGAGAGAGAAAAAGAGAGAGAGATATAGTGAGCACAGTAACGTGCGATGGAAAGAGACGGTCGGCTAAGTAGAGATCACGAGGGAGAAATAGAAGCGAGCACACGAAGAGAAGAGAGAAAGAGGCAATTCGGAGCACTCGCGTACTCGGCAAAGCTCGCAGCGTGGCGGGTCGGCCGCGACTGAATCGTTGCCGAGTCGACTCGCGTCGAGTCGAGTCGAGCTTGAATGAGCCAGCGTAGCTCGGGCTCGCGAGTGGGAGAGAGAGGGAGGTGGATGCCGGGCGAGTGGGACGAGGACAGAAGGTCAGATATATGGCACTGGGGGAGAGCTTAAGCCACGACCAATGCCACCGGCGAAATTTCCGAAGACCCGTGCCCGCAATCTTTAAAGGGATCACGCTCCTTTTGCGGCGGCGGCGGCGGCTTTAAAATGGTTTCACGACAAACATCCTCGAGAAACCGAGTTCTCAACGGCGCTCTGCGTCTCTTAGTCGAGACGTCGGCGTAGGGCTGACGTTTGCCGTTAATCCTTCCACTGTCAGGGGATGATCGGCGCGGAACAGATGTTGCGTTTCACTATTAACCTCATGTAAATAGCTGTCACTCGCGATCGTCGAGTAACACGCGGAAGGAAGAGGCGGATAGATAGACAGGTATAGATGGATGGATATAGAGATCGGTTAATTTATTTTACCCTGGGGGGACAAGGACCCCTTATGGAATCGACCTACAGAGAATACTTACTAAGTAGTACAAGTGAAGCGAAAAGAGAGAAAGAAAAAGAATGGAAGAAGTGTAACGTAATAAGTAAAGAGGAAAAGAAAAGAGAAAAAGAGACTATCACAAAGTTGGACATACAACGAACAATGAGGGCGAATCGTGATAAAGAAGCGTCGAGGCAATACTGAGTGCAAAGCTGCACGGAAAAGAAGTTCTAATTCGAGTAACTGAATGGAGACCAGACGAAAAACTCACTGAAGAAAGACAATATCTCTGTGTGACTGAAAACATTCGTCTGACCATTCAACTGCATTAAAACTCACTTGAGATAAACTGAGAGTAATTGTCTGATGAGTAGAAACCTCCTCTACAGGAATCTTTCTGTTCCTACAACCGAGTTGTTCATCTGGTCTCCAAAAGAAAATTCAATTATATTAAGGAATTGTTTTTTTCCGCGTGTAAGTAACTCCATTCAGATAACAGATTTAAGAGTTAGCACAATAAACCGAGTGAGAAATAGGTGGATAGATAGGGCGCAAAGGAAATGGTTTGTTTGAGAGTAAAATACAGCGAAAAGCCGACGAGATAATTTCAGTAGCTGCCACAGTGGCAGCAGAAGGGTTGAATGGGGTGCACTGTTCGCGCGGTAGCGCGCGCGACTCCGAATCCGCCGCCGAGATCTCTCTGGGAGCACTTCGTCACGGCGAAGTCGCGGTCTTTCTTATTGTGCCTGGCGTAGAACTGAGGTTTTGCCGCGCGTGGCATTAAAGCGCAATCGTGGTGAAATACACACGCGGCTTCCCGCCGCGGCTACGATTCTCGGGAGAGAATTTATAATTGCCGAAGAAGCCCGGCAAGAGCACGCGCGCGCATTTGATTTATTAAATCGCCGACATAGTTGGCGGATAGTTTGTCTTACGAGACAGCGGTACTGCAAGATGCTCACGAGTCTCCAGGAATTGCTGTACTAACTACTAAGAATTATCGAGTGCGCGGCGATTCCTGCTTAAGGAGTTGCGGCGAGCCGCGGACTTCACCTCGCGAAACTTCCGTCTGGGCACTTTTCTGCGCGAAAATTCATCTCGAGGCGCGAACGCGCGCGCTACTTCGATCTCCACCGCGGCCCGAGTGAATGAAACGGACCTCGGTGCTAGCGTATTTTAGCGCTGTCAATAGCATCTCGGGGCGAAGTCGCATGTGGCGCGATACGCGCGGGAATCCAGGCCTCGGTTATCGAGGCGCGATTTGCGCGACGCGAAAGTCTCGTATCCCGCGAGGAGAGAGCGCGCAAACAGTGATCAAAAGGCAGCCGGAAAAGCACCGGGTGTTGACCTATTTTTATTATCCTTAGCGCCATTCACCCAGCTCGGGTGTGCGCCGATGCTCTTCTGCCTTTGCTATTATTGTCTCGGCACGAGAGCGCTTCATTCACCGGAACTCACCCCTCTCTTATGCATGCGCGCTCTCCCGTGCACTCGTGTATTACCCAATTTTAACAAGAAATCTCGCCGTCGACAAAGGCGAGTTCATTCGCTTCTCGAAAGACGTCTAATCGCATCGGCCTACAGATGAAACATGTTATAGTTTACAATATAATAATTCTGATTCTGAAAATATATACTACATCTGTGAACGGTATTATAATAGTGACAAGTCCTGAGTCGAAATTGTGACTTCACACTTTAGACTTAAATATTATATACCGTTTAACACCTACTCTGATACTGTGAAACCTATAGTGTCCTATTTTATTCCATTTAACCTATTAACTTTTCCGAGAGGAACTTTTTAGAACGGGTGCGCACTTCTGCCATTTATACGTTTATTATTTTGTGCGTTTCCTGCAATTTGGGCCTGTATTAATCATTGTCACCTAAAACTTGTCTCACATGAGATACGCAGATGATTGTTCAGAGTTAACTTATCCAAGTTTTGCCGGTTGAATTATGATGTATGTGACGTTCACACTTATCTGCAATCGCAATTCAACTGAAAAAGGAGCTTTCACTTGACTCTGAATCAGATCTGAGCACTTCACTTGAGACGAGTTCCAAATAATGACTATTAATGCGAGTCTTTGCACTGAGAGAAAAATGTATGATATTTGGAACTATAATGGTATAGTAAAAAGATTATAGTTAGGAATATAATTTTTATAGTAAATGTTACCATAATATTTGTAATATTTACAATATAAGCGTAGTATAACTGACCCGTGTAAAATTTTTACCAAGAATTATAATTATTTGAAATAAAAAATATAGTAAGGTAGCAAATATTGAATGGTAAGAAGAATTAACTATTTTACATAGTCAATACAATTGGAATATTTGGCAAATATAGGTACATGTAACTATATTCCCAAAAGATGCTTTACCATATATATAGAGTAATAAGATGGTGACTATAAATCTGTGTTCATTCTACTATAACTTCATGTTTAGATGAACTATAAATATATGTTTGAGGCCAAAACAAATTATAAAATATAGTGAGATTATAGTTATTCCAACTATTTTTTTCTCTCAGTGTGAGAGGCGCTAAGTAGAATTTCAGTTTTCATGTATATTAAACATATACTGATCCTTTAGAATATATGAATAGATGTTACACGATTTACAGGAGGAAAAATACATGAACATTTATTTGTGAGATAATTTATTCACAGAAATAAACTTCATATCCCACAAATAAATTTTCTAGAATCTTCTTCACAGTGAAGAAAGTTCAGGTCGAGAGCAAGTCTAAGGTTTCGACTCTTCGAATTGACTCAATGAGAATCAATGTATACACATGGCGAACGGCGTTTATTACAGTTGACGTGCGAGGAGCGCGCGCGCGCGCGCCCCTTCCTCGAGATATCGCACGCGCGGAAATAGATGATTCATCACGCGTAATTAACAGGTGATCTGTGCACGAAGTAGGTATCTAATCGTAGCTACCGACGACTGCGGCGACTAGACGCTCGAGGGCAACGACCAATTCCAATCGATACCTCGCACATACGCGAAACAGATGCGCACATATCGTGCAACCCGACGCGAAGAATAGAAATCGCGAAGAGAGAATAGTCTCTCTCTTTCTCTCTCTTTCTCTCTCTTTCTTGTGAGTTATGTACTCACCGTATGAGAATACTGAATTCCGCCGGATGGAAGTCAAAATTACGATCTATCTCACCTAACGACGTAGCGTGCGAAGGATTTCCTCCTGTAACGCGATTGCGGCAGCTGCTCGCGCACGCGCGCGCGCACATTAATATTAGACATCAACCGCGGAATCAACTTTAACGTAAACGCTGCTTTAACGTCGGCACGATCGCGCAACTTCGTACGAACATAAATTCTGCTTTTTTATTAATGA